CATGAGACAAGTGCTCGGGCCTGGTGCACTGGGAAGACCCAGAGGGATCGGGTGGAGAGGGAGGTGGGAGGGGGGACTGGGATGGGGAATACATGTAAATCCATGGCTGATTCATGTCAATGTATGACAAAAACCACTACAATGTTGTAAAGTAATTAGCCTCCAACTAATAAAAATAAATGGAAAAAAAAAAAAAGCAAAATAAATAAATAAATAAATAAAGAAGAAAATAACAGAGCTCACCGTTTCTCTGCATTGAGTACACAGCAAGACGGTGGCCACCTCCAAGCCAGGAAAGGAGCCCTCCCAAGACACAGAGGTGTGTCTTGGACTCTCCAGTCTCCAGAGCTGTGAGGAACAAACGCCTGCTGTGTCAGCTTCCCAGTTCACATCACTTTCCCTACAGCAGTCAAAGCTGAGACAAGTGCCTGCTACGTATCGAGCACTCTGTCACATGTCAGGAACGTTAAGAGCAAACAGAAACAAACGCAGGGCTTCCCCTCAGCCATTTGATAATCTAGAAAGAGAGCTAGAATATTTACCTAAATTAATGTAAAACTTTGATGCCTTATGACAGAGGCTTTTACCTCTATAAGTGAATTAAGAGAATTTTGATTCAGTAAGGTCAGGAAAGGATTCCCTGAAGAACACATAGGTACTAGCAGCAACCGTAACGGAAGGAGTGTGTGTGCTGGAACAAAAGGCACCAAACCCCTGTGATGGGAAATGGGTACGGCTAGACAAGTGCTTGTGTGCATGCAAGTGGCTTCAGCAGTGTTTGACTCCGCAACCCTATGGACTATGGCTAGACAAGGGCCTGCTTCATTTTCCTGGGAGTAACTGAAATAGAATTAATCAATCTCTACATAGTTTCTGTCATGTACACTCCAAAGTTAGTGTTTATTTTGTAAGATCCTTAAATGATCATTTATGTGTTTCAAGATCACTTTGTGCACTACGGAAAACAAATACAATGGAGAAAGAAAGTAGGCACACCAGCTAATGAGCTACTGCAGCAGTTGAGAAAAATTATGTTGGAAGTTTGAATTTGATGGAGGAAATGGGTAAATTCCAGAGATATCTAGGAGATCCTAGATATCAGCGGGATGCAAGCAAAGGTGAGGAAGATATTTACGATAAACTGAAGTTTTTAATTTGTATGTAATGGATGGATGGCTATACTAATGAATGATTCACAAAAAACTAAGTTATTCCCTACTTCTAATAGACGTGTTGCAAGTATTTTTTTTACTACATTGTCACTACATTAAACAAAAATCTTTTCTGACAGTATTCTGTATATGAGTGAAGTTTAAAGGTTATATGAAGTCAGGTCTGTCAACCTTTTGCTTTAAGAAGGATTTTCCCAATTAGCTATGAATATCTATGTGGAGATACAACTTTTACAAGACACACAGACAGAAAGAGATAGAATAAGGAAAGAATATATACCATGAAGTTAACAGAGGTAACATTACGAGGGTTTTGCTTTTTTTAATCCCCAACCAGGGATTGAACCCACACCCTCCGCACTGGAAACACAGAGTCTTAACCACTGGACAACCAGGGAAATCTCGAATTAGGAGAGATTTGTATTAGGGAGGATTTTTCGGGCGGTGGGGGTCGGGGGAGGGAGGAAGTGGCATTTGTTATCCTAGTTTTCTGCAGCAAGTTCAATTTGTGTATGTATATCAGACCACAAAAATGGCTACCATGCCATTTTGTAGCCTGGTATTTTTAGACTTAATAGTATGTTATAAGCATTTCTCCTTATATGAAGCAATGTTTCATTTTTATGGTGTTCACAGTATGTCTACAAACAGAAGTCATATGTGAATTGAAGCAACTTTTTCTGTTGCAGTCTTTAAAGTTGTACTACAAAAGTAATGAATAACATACATATACTATCGTGTGTAAAACAGATATCAAGCAGGAAACTGCTCTGTAACACAGGGAGCGCAGCCTGGTGCTCCTGATGATCTAGAGGGGTGGGCTGCGGGGAGAGGGAGGGAGGCTTAAGAGGGAAGGGATGTAAATACAGGTGAAAGTGAAGTCGCTCAGTCGTGTCCAACGCTTTGCTACCCCAGGGACTGTAACCCACAGAATTTTTCAGGCAAGTGTACTGGAGTGGGTTGCCATTTCCTTCTCCAGGGGATCTTCCTGACCCAGGGATCAAACCTGGGTATCCCACATTGCAGACAGAGGCTTTACGTCTGAGCCACCAGGGGAAGTCCATATATATATATATATATATATATATATATATATATATATAAAATTATGACTGATTCATGTTGCTGTATGGCAGAAATCATAACAATGTAAAGCAATTATCCTCCAATAAAAAAAGAAAAGTAATGAAGAATATTTATGTACTATAAATGAATAAATCTGGAGGGAAAAAAAAAAGATATTAGTGAAATAGTAACTACTATGCTCCAGGAGAATATGTAAGCATTC